TTCGGCAAGGGGCGGCATAGAAATGTTATAATAATAATAATAATAATAATAATAATAATAATCCACTGAAAGAAAAAAATGCATACTTTTTGTTATATGGTCTTTTTAAAGAATAGTTCAAGCATTCTGATTTAGAAAATTAAGAAATGGAAAAATTATTTATGCAGAAATACATTTAGTAAGACTGTTGATTATTAATCCTAATGTTAATAAATAGAAATATGTTTGGCATTTCCAAAAAAAGTTTCTGCTCTTTTGGTAACACCAAGATAATGAAGACTCTTATTTTTTTAATTACCTGAAGTCTTCTGCTTTTGTCTTTCAGAATATGACAAACTGGGATTTCTCCTGAAGCTGGATTCCAAATTGTGAGTAGACCTATGGAAGGCCTTAACTTGATCTAACATTATCAGTTTTCTCTGCAGACAAAATGAATTATAAGCTTTGCTATAGAGGGGAGCACTCATTAATATGGCACAAAGCAACAGAGATAGCTGGTGAATTCTTGTGATTTAGTTAAGAGCAATACTCTTGTTCAGCAGAAAAGATCCAAAAGCACATGCACTGGTTGGTTTAAAGTATAGCACTCTGCATATCTACTCAGGAAAAAAAGAGCAACTGAGTTCAATGAGACTCACTCTCACTTAGGCATATGTAAAATTGCAGCCTGCAATCCCATGCACATTCACCTGGGAGCAATCTCAATTGAACATGGGGGACTTTTACGAGAGTAGCCTGCTTAAGTATACTACTTAACATAGTCTTAAGAAAAGCTTGTCATCTTGCTTTGTCTATGTCATAACTTGAAAACAAAACCACTCATTCTAAAAGAAATGGTAGGAAGCATCCCTTGGAAGGATTTCAGTGGGCAGAAATTTAACATTCCTCCAAATGTGGATGCTGGTATAGTTTGAAGCATTTGATTAGTGGTGTCAGAGTTCTGCAGGCCAAGTATAAAGTAAACTGGTTGGTAGATTGTACTATTATGTTATTGGAGTTTAAATTCTTGCAGATGCTGGTTTTCAGCAAAGAATGGTTCACATCTGGTGATATTCTAAATGTAGAAGCTCCTTGTTACACATGCATAAGAGGCTTTTTCAATCCCAGTACATAGGAAAGAGAAAGTGCATATGAGGTTCTCACTTTGAGAGCGTAAGTTATCATTAATGCAATACAAACAGGGTGTACTTGTGTTTCAGAGGGCAGTGAAGTAGGACATACTGAATTATCTGAAAATTCTGCAGATAGATGTGGGGGAAATGAAAGAATTTGAACAGGCAGTTCAGATTTCTTCAGCTGTAAGAACTTTTCTTAGATGTAGGGCTAACTTGCAAAAATCAGATAACACTGTTCATTGACTGCCAGCAATTGAATACAGTACTGTGCTTTTTCAGTTGTCTCATTTCATAAATAGCCAGCACAGTGGTATAAAATAGTTGTAAAATGAAAACTAAATTGAAGTAAGCCATAACCAGTAGCCATGTTAGTCTGTAGCAATAAGAAGACATAAAAAACTGGAGCTATGAAACATGCTGATTTGTTGGTAGCATCAGGTGTTCTCACAGACTGAGGCAGCTTTCACTAGCTTAATTAACATATAAAAGTTGAAGATGGTATATATGTGCACGTATATATTCACATATTTGGTTGGACGTGATAGAACCAGTATTATTCTGTTTCAGGTCTTCCTAGGCTCTTCCTTTTGGTTGTCTTTAATGTGCCTCAATACTCCTCCATTGGTTTCCACTGTGAAGTAGGTAAAGCTGAGAAGCAGTGATGGGGCCAAAGTCACCCAGTGAGCTTCATGGCTGAGCAAGGACCACAGCCTAGAACTTGCATGTCGCAGTCTAACGTTTTAACTATTGTGCCACCCTGGCTGTTAACACCAGTTGGCATGTTTTCTTTCAGGCCTTCAGCCTGTTTAGGGCACATCCTAATGTCACACTAATACAAGACCTCAAACTTTGCATTGTTCATTTTTTACCTCCACAGGGAGAAATTTTGCTGGATGTATTTGGAGGATTCCATATGTGGAAAAGATTGGGGGCGTTGTGGGGGTGCTTGGCATATTGACAAGAAAAAGAGTTAAAAGCGATGTCTTCTTCAGAACTTAATAAGTTAATCCTGGAGCCGAGAGCAGCTACTACATGGATATTATGTCTGGCTGATGACCCTGTTGACAGAAATGGTTTCATTATACCGCTGTATTCTAGATGTAATTATCCCCCTGGAATTCTGTTGCTGATATGTAATTCTGTAACAGTGCCTTAATTGGTGATGGCGTGTCCATCCTTCTATGACTTGGTGAAATAGCAACAATTCAGTCACTGCTTACTGACTGCAGAAAGGGAATTATCATTTTACCAACAGAGATAAAGAAAGAAGCAAACTTTTTTTTTTGGCTTAAGCTAGCTTTTGAATAAGGCTTATCCCTTGGCTCATAGCCAAGATGCTAGAATATCTGGGAAATGAGTCAACTAGTGTAAATATAAAAGAGGCATTTCACATTTGGCTGTTTGTGATTTCCCTTCTCATGTGATTTGGCCTACTTTGTTGATGCCCAGCCCAAAACTATTTACTGTGATGTCATTTACAATTGCTGTGTTCACGGCTGGATAATGATTACTTAGTATTATTCTTTAGGATTCATGGGAATTGAAATGAGGAGACATTTCCTGCATTAAAAAAATATTGAGAGTTGGCATTGTGTGAAATTGTGCAAGGACCAAGTCGTCAGTACTGAAGTACTGTAAAATAGACTGTGTTCTCATTGAGGTGTGTGCTTGCTCATGTTTAACTTGGAGGCAACTTACATGTAAAGCTTTAATCAAACCATGAATTGCTATGCACAGTGACAGTCTCTGGATGTTTTAGGCTCTGTTTATAAATTATGCCAAGCTATATATCATACATCTGGCCCATATAAAACATACTTGGAAGTTATTCCTTTATCCAGCCCGTCACTAGAAGAGTAGTCTCACATCAGCAGTCTGTGATTAAGCAATACCATCAATAATTGCGGATGGAGGTGTTACCACACATACGTTCTGTATCACAGAAACTTGCATGAAGGATTCAGTAAAAAACTGGTTGTGGAAAAAAGCCCCAATATTTTCTTGCCTGCTGCATAATGACTTGCAGTGTTGCAGTCCAGTGTCATATCTACAAATATGCACAAACTTGTATCAGTGTTGTCTCCAGGGAGACAATTTAATTACAACTAAGAATTTTTTGAGGGGATGGTGGCAGCGGCTTCTCCCATCAGCTACTTCCCACACATTCTGTAAACTCTGAGAATTTGTCTTTGTTTTATTACATGGTGGTATTATATCTTCCATATCTATACTAGAAAGGGCATACTGAAGTGTAATTGCAACCTTTCCTGCAAGAAATGAAATGTGTAGAAATTAAGGTCTTTGTCCAAAATAAGAGGCGAGCCAAAAATAACAACCTTCACCCTCTCAGACTCAAATGAAACTCAACCCAGGCTGACTGTGAGAAGACCATAAAAATGGATGCAGCCTAAGCTAGTGCAGCTTGAGTTACTAGTGTTTACTCAAATGAGTTTCCTGCACAGCATTAATAAAAAACTTTTCTTTGCTTCTCCTCATTTCAGACATGGATGTATATAGTGGTTTTTTTCTATATAAGCTGAAAACATAAATATTGAACTTTCAGGAGGACATGAACAAATACTGTGACAGGTAAAGCCACAGTTACATGTACTTTGGTACATCTGGTTTGGATTGTTGCATTGTGCTTTAAGGTGGCCCATGAAAAGTCTCCACAAACTTCTAGTTGGTTAAAATGCAGCAGCCAGTGTGTAACTGGGGTCAGCTTTGTGGAGTTATATTATGGGTACTCCATAAGTTGCAGTGACTTCCTGTTTGTTTCCAGGTGCAGTAAGAGGTGCCAGTTATTGTCTTTAAAGTCAGAATGGTTTTGGATGAGGCTTTTGAGAGAACTGTCTTCTCTCATAAGAGTCAGCCTTCCCTCTGTCTTCATAATGTGATGTCTTCCCTCATGACCCTTTGCTTTCAGAGGCTTGCCAGCCTGGGACATGTGATAAGATCTGTCTAGTGGTCTGGTAAGGTTATGGAGCTCTTTCTGTTCGGAAACTTGATTGGCTTCCTCACTCCCTCAATACATTTCCTTATATATTACATTCAGCATTTGGCTTATTTTAATTCTTCTTCTGCCCATTGTGGTTTGTGGCATTGTTCCTGTTTCTTTTTCCTCCTCACCAGTAACTTATTGGTGTGATCTGTAAGACTTATTGGTATGATTTTACCATGTATTGTCTTTTAAATCTGTTGTAGCCTTCTTGGTGGCCTTGTAATTGGAAAGTGAGATAGAAAACTTTAAAATAAATAGGTTATGCTGATACCTGGTATTTCCCCATCTTTTTTCCCTTCCCAGTAAACTTAGATAAGACCTTGCAAGCACAGTTCTTAGAGCTTAACAGTATAAATCAAAGTAAATCTCAATGTTCTCTTTGAGATGTTGGAAAAACATCTGCCCATTAGAAAAGCTGAATCCAAACTGAAACATTCCCTCCTGCTGGACTGGGACTCGTGAGATCTGGATTCTAGTTCCTACTCATCCATGAAGCCCACTGGGTGACTTTGCACGTCACTGCCTCTCAGCCTAGCCCATCGCATTGCCTAGCCAAAAATTGTCTTATAGTATCAACCACTTTTACTATATCATATTAAATCTACAAACAAATTAAGCTATAACAGACAAATTCAAGGCAATGTTATCACTTAATACTACTACATGGATTAGTGCAGTCACCACTATGCTAACATAATCCTCCATACATTTGTCAATTTCTGGCAAATCCACATGTCTCATCTTTCTTCTCCTAGTCACACTAAGAGAGCATGTTGCAGTCACAGGCCTTTGCTTCTGGCTTTGCATGAGTCCCATTTATTTCCTCAGTCAGGTTAAGTGTAGAGCTATGACTAGGGCTTCTCCCAGATGCGTCCAGCTTGGTGAACTGCCTTTTTCAAATGCAGAAGTTGTGCTGCCTGACTAGGTAATAAGCCATCAGTGCTCTTTACCTTGATTTATTTATTTGTTTGTTTGTTTGTTTGTTTGTTTGTTTGTTTGAACACTTATATGCCGCCCCATTTGCAAAAGCCTCAGGGTGGCTTCCAATACAAATAAATAACTATACAAATACATAAAATACCTAAAATCTGGAGACATCCCGGCATAAATATAAAATCAATAAATAAATTCAACAATTAAAATAACGTTTAAATAAAAAGGTTTATTTAATAAAAAGGTTTATTAAATAAAAAGGCCTGACACCGAAAAACAAATAATGACGGCGCCAGGCGGATCTCTCTGGGGAGCGCAT